ATCAAAACAACCTCCAAGATTCTACAAGCCATCAAAAAAGAGCTATTACCGGAAGTGACATCTATTGATGGCAACCTATATATATATATATAATGATATATAATTAATGAGAGTGTAGGGAACTTGGAGAAACGTAGATCATTCTACTCTTCAATAAACTCTTTCTCTTCATACAAATTTGCATGAAAGAGTTATTATGCATGCTCAAGACACAGGGTACCCATGTCACTCATTTTGCACCTGATTGATGCGTGATGTTAGGATCACATGTTGCATCACAGTAGTTAAGCTGGTTGATGATAACAAAGCATTCATCATTAGCTTCTCTTGTTAGATCAACCAACATGGCCGCTAAAGAATATGGTGACTAATTTGTATAGCTATTGTTCTGCACTATGATGATGATGATGATGATGATGATGATGATGATGATGACAATAAGTCAAAGCATTCATCATTAGCTTCTCTTGATAGATCAACCAACATTGTCACTGAAGAATATGGTGACTAATTTGAATAACTATTGCTCTACACTGACTAGCCACTGACTAGCCTTTCATACATGTGAAAATATTTTTGTGTTTCCATATGAACACGAGGCTAGTAAGTCCAGAACAATAGTTATTCAAATTGGTTGCCGTATTTGTATTCAATGTATATAGTCTATGTTTGGCATTTGGTTAAAAATATCTAAGTATTTTGAAGTAATATTTCAAAGCCGACAATGGGGACTGGACGGGACTTGAAGTCCAAGCAATTAGTTTCAGTTCGAGGTGCAAAATGACTTCTCATGCTCATTAATTATTCCACTTGGAGTAGCTGGAACAAAATTAATAAGGACTGAATTAATTTTGTTCCAGTTACTACAGACTGAATTCAGTCCTTTCACAGGACTTTATCAGGTTTCAAGTAACATCATGTGACCCAAAAGTAGCCCATTGATTGGCTGTTTTACTCATGAATTATTAATGAACATTTTAAATGATTATTACTTGGTTTGTTTGTAGGTACATATAGCTGCTGCTAATTGCTATGAAGATGCCTTGGAGTTTCTATTGGAGCATGGTGCTGCCGTAGATATACCAGACAAAGATGGCTGGCAGCCCATCCATGGAGCAGCTGTCTGGGGCAATGTAAGTTATGTTTCAAACCACCTCAGGGCTGATCTAAGTCAGGGCACGGCTAACTCACAGATCAAACCCTAAAACAACCTCTGGGCTGATCTAAGTCAGGGCATGGCTAACTCACAGATCAAACCCTAAAACAACCTCTGGGCTGATCTAAGTCAGGGCATG